TGTGTGTGTGAGATCAGTTTATATTGTTTAGAAAATTTTAGGTATGTTCGTATATTGTTGATTGGGTTCAGTTTTTTCGGCATTTATTTATTTTTTCTTTAACTCTTCATCAGCTATCAATTTGTATTTTACATAGGAATATTACATTTTTCCATTGTACTTACTTCATATACGGCGTCCACGGGCAAGAGTGTTCTGCGTCTCTTTCTCGAGAAAAATAATTTATTAACTTAGCAACGAGCTCTTGTTCATTTCTGCTGAATCCTTTAGAGGCATTTTTGCAATCAAAAAAAAAATAATTTTGTTTTACAGCAACAACCAAATTTTGACAACCAAACGATGGCTGAACATTCTATACATACATATCGTCTTCTAAGCTTCTATCTGTCATTTCCATATTTAGACTGCTACTGGATACACCCTGTACATTACAGGAATGCGATTTTTCTTCTAAATTCCTCGACATAATCGTGCACCGCGCGGAGTAACTAGTGCAAGACCTTCGGTCGATCGAAGAAATGACTGGTTGGCAGAAGAATGATTTTTCCTTCTTTCACTGTACGGCCGATATGACTGACGTATGCTCTAGTTGTCCGGTAAATTTCTTTTCGACGTCGAAACGACATGATGAAAGTTAATTTTTTTTAAGTTTAGCGCAACCTCAGACAAATATGTAATATTAATAAACGAAGGTACCAAAGATAAAAAAACAAAAGAATTTGAAAAGATTAAGGAAGTAGAGCATACCAATAAACTTACGTGGAACGCGATATGGAATAAATATGGCTGACTTAACTTTCGATTTTTAACCGAGATCATCTACTGGACGCTGCACAATAAACTCTTTTACAGTCTCTTTCTGGAATTTGCCGTGATGTCACTGTTAATTTAAGTTCTTAAACAATATTCTTCTATATTTACTCAACATTAGAATAAAGTCAAGCAAATATGTTAATACAATTTCCTTTCTAATACATGAATAACATGGACAGTACTTAATCTTTTTATGTTCGTTCAAAGTTTTTTTTTTGTGACAATGACGTTGTCAAATATTGAAAAAGAGGTATGTTAAGTCTGTGGTCAAGTGAAACTAAATAAACCCACCGTTGGTTTACCTTTTGCTTCTGAATTTGATACTATTCAAACGAAGCCACTGTTTATTAAAATTTGATCTTTTAGGGTTACCTATGGCATTCAAAGATTCGTTATGAATTATTGTTATATTCGTCATTAATCAGAGAGTAGAACATGGCATACTTAATACTTTATGCACTCTCAATCTTAGACGTTTCTTTTCGACATCAGCATCGAATCTGCTTAATGAAAGTTCTAGGAAAAGGCTATTGTTCTGCATAGTAGGTGTTCGTGCATTATGTTTACATTTTTTTTAATCTCCAGGTTTAAAAATGTTATTGTTATGAGTTAAAAGGTATGAGAAAGTTCACTGACATAATACTTAATTAAAAAAAACAGTGTGTGCACTATGTGCACATATTTGAAGTGAAGATTCTTACTGACAGCTATTAAATTAAAGAATTTGAAGAACATGTTTGAAAAAGCGACTTATAATGCTATTTTAATATAAATATTATTTTCAATTTATTTCTGTATTCTGTACATTTTCTGTTTCCTCAATAGCCTGTAAATTTTGTGGAATATCACCCAAAATACACACTTTTATGCAAATGCCTAATAATGTTAACGCCCCCCTTAAAATTTATTTAAGAAGAGAAGAAATTTTGAACCTAATCAACAGTTTGTGTGGTCTGTTTTTGTTTACATGTTTTGTTCATTATTTATTATGATTTACAGTAATTTTGTTAAATTATACGAATATTCTCGTTGATTATTTGTTTGAAATAAATATGACAATACCATCCAATGAAAATGCGAGTTGCTTAACTCTAATAATTCTAATTCTGAGCTAGGAAATGAACTACAGTCGCCTCTCGATAATTTGACACTCGTTAATTTGAATATCTCGATATATTGAAGTCCTTTAAGAAAATATAGATGCTCTACCTAGACCGGCATTCAGAAGTTACAAACCTATCGATAAAAATTTGCATGAAAATTTACTTCCTAGCACACGACCAGAGGATATTGGTATACAGCTTCATTATAATGATTTCATGATTGATGATAATAACATCGAGTTAATTATAATGATTCTCTTAGCTTTATATCAAATATTTTTTGGTATCGTGCGATCCTTTCCATTCTTAGCCGACCATACCAACAGGTATGGTAGGCTATTAAGATCGGCAAAAAAAGTTTTTTTAATTTCACTCAAAATGAGTTATTTGGATCATAAATGACCTAAATACAAAATATTTTCATTATGTCTGTCTGTCTGTCCGTCTGTAACACGATAAATCAAAAACCGCTAAACCGATTTTAACCAAATTTGGCACAAAAATACTGTGGCACTCGAGAATCTGGCCATTAGTTTTTGGTGGGGGTGGGGGGTGGGAAGGGGTATGGGAGGGGGTTAAATATTTTAAAAAATCGTAACTCCAAAATTACAGTAGCTAGCAAAACGCGGTTTTCAATTTAAGATTAGGAATAATGGGTATTTGCAACAAAATTTGTAATAACACCAAAATCAGTCAAAGTTGCAGTTTTTGAGATATTCCGTGTTTCCGTAGTCCGTTTTTGAGAAAATCCGTGTGGAGAACTCCAAACTCCCATCGGGCGCGACCCCAGGTGGCGGATAGGGTAAATAACCGCGGACCAAAATTGGAAAAATTCATTTACTTTGAAACTAAATGAACTGCCTACCAACTTTTTATTAACATATTTTAGTATATACGTGCCTCCCGGCGCCAATTTTTTTTTAATGCTCGACGCACTGTTGCCGGACTCGTAGGAAAAAATTTGAACCGTGGCAAGCTATATTTGTGGCAAGTTTTTGATAGAAACCTTATGAAAAATGTATTCTCCTATTCATAAATATACGTAAAAATGTGGTTTTAAATAAAAATACGATGAGCGTAATTATCACGCATCCAAATCCTGTACTATAAGAAATTTCTTAAGTTCATAAAATATTTTAATAAAAATAACGGAATAATTTCTTATTTAAATACCTATGTTTAAATTACAACTAATTAATAAAGCAAAAGCAGTTTGATTTAATTAATATATTTTATCGGATATTTTTCAAGTCGCTGAAATATTTACAAAAAAAATCTATTACATCTATTTTAAGTGTCTCGTTCTTGAAATACCTACAACAAAAAAACTGAATTTATTATCATAACACGATCCTAAATGTACTACCATTTATTTCATAAAGTGGAAAATTGAGGCATAACATTACAAAACTATGTCGTAAACATTCCACTACTGTGAAATCGATACAGTAATTCCATTAATAAAGTAATAACTCGACTGTATAGATTTAATTTCATCAAGATATAATCCATCTTAAACTTGGCGCTGAAAAAATATCGTCGAGCAGAACCTCATTAGCGGATAGCAAGCGTAATCCGATTTGATTGCAGCTGCCACAGATATCCAACTTAATTGCTGTATAATTATGGCGGATAGAAAACATTCAGCATATTAAAACTTTTTTACTCGAGATCAATATAAATCCTTACTAAAGTCTATACAATATAGAAATAGAGTAATTTTTTTCCATAGCAACTGTTAAAATTGCCTTATATCTATCAAAAATAGTAGATAAAATAGTACTTTAACCGCAAGGGTAGATTAAATGATACTTTAACAGCGAGGATAGGTTAAAAACTTTATTTCTTCTCGCACGTTTTTTAATTGCTTCCATTTTTGAAAATTTTTGTATTTCTTTTGATAAGTTATTCGGGATTTAAATGGAAGTAGTTTGGATATGACGTTTGTCGCCTCAGCCTGAATATCTGTTGGTAATTTACTTATTTCGTTTTGAGCCATTTCTGGCTCCAATTCAATCAGCAATCGACACGAAAGAGAATTAAAAAATATTGACTCAAAACTGACAACTAAAGAGACAGCTTTATTTATTTGTCAAATTACATAGAAACCAACGCCAACCCAGCACAATATTTCTTCTACTCGTAATAAATTCCTTGAAATAATTTCTGAATATTTTTTAAAACGTAACTCGCTATGGAAAAAAATATTGTTTTATACACGACGATAAAATTGCATTATCGTCTCCCGAAATTAATTCATTAATCTTTTCGGTCGACGATAAAATACCATTTTATCGCCTTGTATAAATAACTATCCTTTTATCTTGGCGGTTGGACGAGCGCTTACCTCTATGCCCTTTAACACCAAGCTGTCAATACAACTAAATAATCGTAGTGGGGACAACTTAGGGTTGCCAACCGTCTTCTATTCCAGAGGACACCTGATTGACCTCACTGTCCTAGCAAAAAAGTTACAGCGATTTGTTAAAAATGCACATTTTTGAAAAACACCCCGTAACTCCAAAACGGTAACAGATATTGATGTGGGGTTTTCACCATCATGTTTTTGATGAAAATTGAGCTCCAGACACCGATATTAGTTTTCGTCTATCTCCTATAGAAAAGGGTGTTTCCATTTAAAAGCGTCGAATTTGACCCACCCTGTACAAGAAATATTTGTGGAAGCGATAAACAATTTTAACTACTTTATGTTTACTTATTGTTAGTTTATGTTTCGAAAAAAAAGTTTTGTTAAAAATGGTTTGTTTTATTTTAACACGTTTTTAGTATATAAATATTTTTAAGAAAGTAAGAAAGACCATCAATCACATACCGTTGATATATTAACTTTTTGATAAATTTCAGACATTTGGGCGAGGTTTCAAAAAATGTTTCGCATGCGCCTCTTTTTACCATCTCGTCCTCTATTTTTTATTTTGAAAATTGGCAACCCTAGGATGATTAGAATGTCCCTAAATTGTTGAAATCTTTATTTTAATTTGGTGTTGACAACGTGAAAACCAAAAATTGTCAACTTTTGTTGTGTTGCTTTTCTAATAACACTTTTCTTTCCTTCTTTTCCAGACGACACCGAGAGAATCAGCAAACACCTGGTCCAGTTCGCCTGCTGCCAGAACTCCACCGACAACATCAGCGTGATCGTGGTGTTCCTGCGCGACCCGCACAAGATCGCGAGCGAGGCTCACCGGTGGGCCGCCGCCAACGAGGAGGCTCAGCCTCAGACCCAAGCCACCACCCCCACAGCTGACCAAATGGACACCGAGCTGGAGAACGCCAACAACGGGCCCTTCGCCAACACCAACGGCACCGGCGCCCACTTTGCCAAGCTGGAGGCCGATAATATTCACATACAGAAGGGAGGGGAGGGGTTGTTGTTGAATTTGACAGATAACTTCAAGCAGCAAGGTGAGCAATAATGTTTTAACAATGACTAAAGAAAAAAAAACTGTGACAATTCTTCTAAACAGTGCCGCCCACATATTTTTCTACACAAACAAGCACAAAGTTCACTACATACAACCAACTATTAAAAATCGCTAGAAGTTGTCGCTGATGACCAGCTGACGACTCATTCGTTACTTCCAAAAAAATGGCGTCTAAGGTCACAAATTCTGCTGCAGCCCGTATATGGGCGTTACATGTCCTTGTATTCTTTAGTCATTGATTTTAACTATACCTCTTTTGGGTGCTTCAGAATGGTTCGACTGAGAATATATACAAAGTGGTCCGAACTGTATTCCGAAAACTTCTATAGCATATTTTGATATTCATAGCTCTTCTGTAGCAAACAACGTTTATATTTGGATGAAAATTGGTGTCTGGGAGTTTTTTGATACGAGAAATTTGATTTTGATGTGAATATGAATAAAGGGCGCCATCTACATGTGTTTTAACTGTTTTGAAGAGTAATAACTTTTTGTCCGTACCTGTATAAAACTACTCAGTAAGAAAATATACATTTACGACGTTTTTTGCGAAAGAAAGGTCTCTCGGTAAAAATCGATACGTGTAATGGTTCTCGAGATATTTTGTATCAAAATTATTAATACCTGCCATCATTGACATAAATTAAACATGTTGACTAAATAGTTGAAATCATAAATTTGAAATATTTTTGTGCCAAAAGTTCAACAGAAACTGTTTATCATCATTTGTTCGAAGAAACATTTATGGTTAATTAAAAAAAACAAAAAGTTCCCAAAATTATCATTTCAGTCAAATAACTATCTACTCAGCAAGTTTATTTTTTGCAATAATGACATGTATTGACCATTTCCATTCTAAATATCTTGAGAACGGTTGCTCGTAACGATTTTGACCAAGAGACATTTTTTATGTAAAAATTCACAGAACTCTATATTTTTCACTCAGTAGTTTTATACAGGTACGAAAGGAAAGTTATTACTCTTCAAAACACTTAAAACATGTAGATGGCGCCCCCTACAAATAGGAGTCATGTTGACATCAAAATCAAATTTCTCATGTCAAAAAACTCCCACACACCAATTTTCATCTAAATATTGACGTTACTTCAGAAATTGTTTGGAAAAAATCGAAATAAAGATGAAACTTCTACACCCTGTATCTCCGAAACTAAGCATTTTAGGCCATACATTTATACGAACTTTTTTACTTATTTTTATCTGCAGAATATGCTGCGGAAGTTTCCGGAATACAGTTCGGACCACCCTATATAGAGGGTGAGTTTTCTACGATGTTCTCTATGAATATCTTGGAAACTAGAGATAGAGAGTCGGTTAAATGGGGAAAGAATTATTGCAGTTTTATGGGGGTCAGAAATATGCACGTTTCAGATTTTTGATAAAGTTTATGGCTTACTAGATATTTCGAAAAAAATAACAAATTTCGGCTATTTTGAAAATTGTCTCTAATTCCATTATAATCTATTTTAGACAAAAAGTTTTCAGATAAATGTTGTAGATAATCACATCCTTAATGAGATTGTGTCCTCCGTTTTTTTCTAAAGCCAGTCATTTTTGACATATGACACAAACATAATGTTTTTTTAAATGGAAACCGTAGTTGGCCATGACTTCATAAGAAGCGCCATTTTTTAAGCTTTTCAGCTATATAAACTATAATATATTTTTTTTCGAAAAATTACTGAGTTGTAACCAATTCTTATCTTTCTTGGCCAATTTCACTCAGTTGGAATGGTATTCTTATTCTGTCATGACTTATAACTTATAAAAAGACAGAATAGATAAGAGTTTTAGAAATTAGATTAGTGGAATCTAAACTTGATAACGGTCAGTGATACTTCTGACCGAAACGTTGTGTAAGCAAAATAAATAAAGACGATGAAAGTGCAAAATTCTTTTAGTTTCAATTTCCAATTATTAATGGACAATTATTAATAATTTAAGCTATAAATTTATTCTCCATTTTTACAGGTGCCAATCTGACAGACGATTTCTTCCTAACGGAAAAATCAAACGGCACCAAACGTTCCACACCCGATCTACATTCAGACGACGACTTCGGTCCTGAAACCGCAGTTGACGATCCCTTCACGCCCACAGAAAAATCACACCACGACGCCTTCGAGAAGCCCTTCAAAACCTTCAGCGACGAGGTGAAGGCTTTCGCGGACGGTCTGGCCAATAACAATCCTCTTCAGGGCGATTTCCATCAGTTTTTGAGGGAGACCAGCGAGGAGAATGAGAAGGAAAGTGATGCCATAGATGATGAAGGTGATGATAGGGTGGAGGAGGAACGCGGTCCGCCTGTTGGTGCTGGTAAGTTGATGATTGTAATAGTAAATTTGTTTGATGACTGTGACAACAGTCTGATAATCACGATATTTTTCACTCATTGTGTGTTTTTTTTAAATGTAAGTGAATCTTGTTCTTTTCTGTTTATCTTTACCAGAGCATCAGAAGAGTGTAGACACCTTATATTCTCTAAACTTGCCAAATATATCACGTGATTAAGTTAAAATGATATCATCAAACCGGACCATTAGTCCAAAAAAATAGGCCTTCAATACGAAGTTTTAGGGAAAACTTGAATTTTTATATAAGTTACTTTGGAAGATCTAAAAACGAATAGTGAAAGATTTTTTTATAAATAAATAAAACTATTTTTTCGAAATTTCGGAGAAACGGTAAGAACTAAAAAAAACGTTCAAATAAAAGTTATGGAGCGTCAAATTTTACATACAAATCAACTCTGTACTTTTTTGCTCAGATCAAAATTAACCGAGATAGGGTGGCTTGAAGCTAGGGGATGATAGTAAAAATTTTAAAAGTTGCTGAAAAACTCATATATTTAACATTTTTATTCAATTTGTTTGGAAAAATATAAGTTTCAATTAAGATTTTTTTTAAATTCACCCTGAGAAAGGGCAAAACATATAAATAAAGTGTTTTTTTTTTAATTTTAGAGAAACAGGTAAAGGACTTGCAAGAAAATTGCTTCAATAAAAGTTGTCTCTTAGCTTCTAGCCACCCTATCTCGGTTAATTTTGATTTGAGCAAGAAAAGTATAGAGACCATTTTTATGTAAAATTGAACGCTCTACAACTTTTATTTAAACTTTTTTTTCTAGTCCTTACCGTTTCTCCGAAATTTCGAAAAAATAATTTTATTTATTTATTTCACCCCTTCTTGGAGGTAAATTTAAAAAAATATCTTTCACAATTTGTTTTTAGATCTTCCAAAGTAACTTATATAAAAAATTCAAGTTTTTCCCAAAACTAGGACATTTATCAAGAATGGTTCTTTCATTCGCGCTGTATCTCTACCCATAGTAATTTACCCACTCTTATATGGTCTGTATTTCAAGAAAACATTAAAATATGTACCAGTATATAAAATAAATAGTTTTAACACCCAAATAATAAACAGTAAATTGGCAAAAGTATTAAAGGTTATCAGAGAACTGATTATTCAATTTTGTTCTGGTGCCCTGCACGAAAAATATGAATGGCAAATTCCTAAAATAGTTTTCAAACTTAACGTTCACAAATATGATGCTAAAAATAAACTTTGCACACAAATTATATGTAACTAGGAAAATTTCTATTGTGTAATTCAGAGGAAACAAACTATTAGTAATAATTTCATCTCAGATATGAATCATGAAGTAGATTACAGATTAGGAAAAATCATTTTTATTCTTCTGATAAATTCAAATTTAAAATTTGTTTATAATTTTTCGAATAAATGTTAAATATTATATCCAAAACTTTATGCTAGAGATGAGCAAAACTGCGATTGATGCTCAAAAATACGATTTGTGTGTGGGCATCTTTTAACTGACCAGACGTGACCAAAGACGTGAAAAACAATAGACGATCAAATCTATTTTTCCAAGACATCTTGATTAAAATTAGTGTTTTTAACACAGCAATGACATCCTAGATTGAAGTTTAAAATTCGATTTTTTAAGTAAAAATGTCAAAAGTTGTCATATGGTATGTCATTCTACTCAGAGTGTGATTTTTCTATCCAATAAAGTAAAAAATACCGATGGTGTCATTTAAAAATCAAAATGTGTTGTCATTTCCGGTGAAACAGGAAGTGATTAAAACAATTGAATACACCAATCAATCCTAATTTATGTCATATACTAACATACCAAATCCCTTTTTTATCATAAAAAATAAAAAAGTTATAGGGGTGAACCACTCTTGAGAAACACCCGATATATTATGGTCGTGGTCTTATGAAAATGATACCTAAAATAAATAAATAATATCAGAGAGAAAATGCAATCGCAGTTTGCTATAAAATGCTTTAATAGACCACAAAATTACATTAGCAACAATATCGCAAATCGCAACTACTAAAAATTCAAACTCGCAGGTAGAAATCACGGTTCCAGTTTACAAAATCACAATCGCAGCAAAATCGCAACAAAGTCGCAAATTGCAGCTATAGTAATACTAGTTGCCTAAATTGAAACTCGCAAATAGAAGAAATCGCAATCGCCTATGAGGACCAATGTTTCCTATGAGGACCAAACGCAGGTTGCGATTGCGATTTTAAAATCGCTGCGATTGAATCGCAGTTTGCGATTTCTTGCTCATCTCTACTTTATACTTTCTAGATAAGCTTATTAAATGAATCTAATTTTAACTTGCGTTTTTTTTATTCTTTTTCAGTATTTTTTGCAAAAGAGGCATGCATGCCCAAAAAAAGATGATATATTTTTAAAAAGAATTTATTTCCATTTCTTTCTGTTTGAATTGCAATTTGCTCGTAATTGTAGCCGGCGGCATTTTATTCTTTAACAATTTACATTTAGTACGTCGTTCCGACCGCGGCTAAAAGGGCTGTAAGGGATTTAGGGGTGGGTGGCATTAAAAAGAGGGGAATTTAAACCCGACAGTTGTCGAATTAGAAATAAATCCCCACGGGATCGATTTGAATCTAGATAATGACACGCGGGACAATCCGTTTAAAACAGACCAACGATTTCTTTATAATCTTCGTTAAATACTTTTAAAATAATCATTATTTAAGAAAAAACTATACAAATTACTTGTACTTTTTTTGAAGTTTTTGGAGAAAAAAATATAATATCGCTAAGTATCTTAACGTGTCTTAGCGATAGTTGCGATAGGAAGCGATAGTTGCAACACAGGTGCTTGTCCAGAACTGCTACGATCAGAGAAAGGATGTGTGCCTATGTTTCATAGACTACGAAAAGGCATTCGATCGCGTACAGCACCACAAATTAATTCAGCTCCTGAAAAGACTTGATATAGATCATAAAGACATCCAATGCATTGAGAAGTTATACTGGAACCAAATAGCACAAATAAAATTATCCAATACCATGTCCAATCCCATACAAGTTAGAAGGGGGGTGCGACAGGGTTGCGTGCTGTCTCCACTCCTATTTAATTTATACTCAGAAGCTATTTTCCAAGAGGCTCTGGAGGACGTGGAAATGGGGGTCAAAGTTAATGGAGTGTGGATTAATAATATCCGCTATGCCGACGATACGGTCTTAATTGCAGACAATATACACGACCTACAACAACTGGTCAACAAGGTAGGAGAACAGAGGAAAGCAATGGGTTTAAACATCAACATTAAGAAAACCAAATTTATGATTATATCCAGAAACCCAGATATGTTTATAAACTCCATCCTAACATTTAACTCAAGGCCCATAGAAAGAGTAGATAAATTTTAGTACTTGGGCATCTGGCTCTCCGAAGATTGGACATCAGACAAGGAAATGTCTTATCGAACAAGCTCGGCAGGCATTCTTGAGGTTTCGAAAAGTACTTGTCTGTTCTGATTTTGACCTTAGTCTTAGATTAAGATTCGTAAAGTGTTATGTGTTATGTGGTGCTCCTTTATGGTATGGAAGGTTGGACATTGAAAGCAGCTACCATCAACAAATTGGAGGATTTTGAGATGTGGCTATATCGCAGAATCCTGAAGATACCTTGGATGGCTAGATTGACAAATGAGGAAGTTCTCAGACGCGTTGACAAAGAGCGTGAATTATTTGAATTGATTAAAAAGAAAAAGACCGCATACCTGGGGCACATAATGCGAAACCCCAAATATCAATTCTTGCATTTGTTGATAGAAGGCAAGATCGATGGCCGGAGGGATATCGGAAGGAAGAAAATGTCTTGGCTGAGGAATATTAGACAGTGGACAGGGCTACTCGATGTTCAGTCGTTAATACACACCGCCCGGAACAGAGAAGCAATGGAAAATGTTATCGCAAACATCCATTAATGGATCTGCACTAGAAAAAGAAGAAGAAGTATCTTAAATTAAAAATTACATTTTTAAAAGTACACACATGGCCAAAATTATAGCTTATAACGATATTTTTATTTTATTTTGGACCTAATATGATTCTTTTTATATTTTTGGACATATTGGCTTACTACACGACTAATTAATATAAAATCTAAGTGCAACTAGGCTGTTATTATAATTTTATTTCATAATGAGTGAAAATCAACAAAAACAAATTTCATTTTAAACAGAAAATATCAACTAATAGTCTGTATTGCCTCCTCGAGCCTCAATGCAAGCTGTGAGACGACGTGGCATGCTCTCTCAATTAAGTTGTCCAGAAGATGTTGAGGAATGGCTTCCCGTTTCGCGCGCAGCAATTTTCAATTCATTTAAGGTACAGGGGGGATCATTCGTTTTGGCAATATGGCGTTTTAGCATGTCCCAAGCATGCTCGATCACATTCATATCTGGAGACATCGGTGGCCACCACAGTTTTCTTATACCCTCTTCCTCACAAAATTCGCGAACCGCTAAAGTGCGATGGGGAGGAGCATTATCGTCCATGTAAACAAATTCATCCCTCATTGCCCCTCGAAATGGACGCACAATAGGCTCTAAAACGTCTGTAAGATATGAGGCATCTGTCATTGTGCCATCAATAAAAACAAGAGGAGTTCGAGCTTCGTGCATTATACCTGCTCATACTATAATGCTTCCCCCTTGAAACAGGACACGGGGTTGAGCTGCATTCAAGCGTGCTCGTCTTCCAGATGCTCTCCAGACCAAAGTTCGTCGCGAGTCTGAGACTAGGCCTATTCTTGTTTCATCACTAAACATGACGAAATTCCAATTAGGCCCATTTGCTCTCATCTCCTCAGCCTATTGTAGTCGCGTAGTTTTGTGCTGTAAATTAAGCTTCGGAACACGTAGAGGCCTCCTTAAATGTAATCCTCTGTCATGGAGTCTTCTTGCTTGGTCTTTCTTGAAACATTTACTCCTTCAAGGCGAGCTAACTCATTTTT